TCTTGCCGCTCCAATGTAACTTTGCAGCCACGAATGTTAAATTTTTTCAAAAGTTCCTCCATTCAGATGATTTTATGACTAAAGAAAACTTATGATTTAATACAGCACAAAAGAAAATATTGAAACAAGCTTGTTTAAAATCTCAATATATTAAGCACATGTAGTGAAATGCGCCAAAAATATTGTCATTGCATTGCTACTTGTCTTGTATTTAAAATACTGTATTTGTATACGTACAGTCGTACACAAGAGTCCGTGTGTTTGGCACAAATTTGTCTCATATAAATCAGTGTTTGTATGCGTGAACGATAACCAAACAAGTGTGTGCGTGTGTAAATATGTTTATGTAAAATGGCACAAATTAGTGCCAGCAGTAATGTCATTGCGAAGGAAATTAATAGTCCATATTATTGAAGTTTATGTGGACTAATAAAATGATGTTATCTATTTTTATTCTATTTTGAAACAAAAAATGGGCTGTTTGGAGTAGTTTGTTATGAGAACAATGCATAGAAAAAATATAAAAATGTATAAGTGGGTAAAAAATTAATTGAAAAAAGGTGTATTATGCCATATTTTCTACCAATTGATAATTAGGACTTGCTCAAATCGATGATGGTTCTTACAGTGCATTGGAAAGTATTGCTAATCAATTGCCAACAGAGATTAGATAGATTAGAACAGTCATTTATTTAATAAATTTCAATTAAAGTACAACAGTTAATTTCCAAGCAATCCGTTTAATTCAAATTTTTGTTGACAAATGAAATTAAATAAATTTATTCTTATTTTATATTGAAAAAACGTTAGTTTTGAATTTAATAGATTTTCTCATAATAATTTCATTGCATTGAAAAACATATATTTTTATTTGAAATCAGCTGTGTCATTGCTAATTGTCTTGTATTTAAAATACTGTATTTGTATACGTACAGTCGTACACAAGAGTCCGTTTGTTTGGCACAAATTTGTCTCATATAAATCAGTGTTTGTATGCGTGAACGAATGTGCGTGTGTAAATGTGTTTATGTAAAATGACCGATGCAATGTTATGCAAACAGTGCAATGGTATCGCAATGGTATCGTGTTTGCATATCGATTCACCAACCTTACCGGCTAAATGAGATCAACCACCTAAACTCCGAAAAGTACTACAGATATCATAATCGAGATGGACTATGGAATTTGTTGTTCGATGTCGATAAAATCAACCAATTGGGCAAACGATCCAAACAATTCCATCATCAAATCATGACCGATAGTGTTTCCGTATCTGTTCTGTACACCAAACCAGAGCGGGCTTGCAATGAAAATGTGCATTCACAGCCGGACAAGCCCGTAGCTAATTAAAGTTTTTTATTTAAAAAAAAAAGATATTTCATATACAATTCAATTGATACTAATGATTGTCGTTCCTCTTTTCCATGTATTCACACCCGAATGTTATGCTATGGCAACCGTGAAAATGGCTGAAACTACACACAAATCCGGGTCCAAATTTGACCCTTAAACTTGTGCCTGGTAATGGTTTGAAGTGTGGTTTTGTAAGAATCTTGAAAACATAGCAGCAAATTTAAATCACAAATGAAACAAAAGGTTAATTTCATCGTCGTCACCAATAAAAGTAATCCCGTCATTTAAACTAAAACGTGTGGCTTTCATGTCATCTACCAGTGCATTGTTATCGTTTCCAAATATAGCGATTTTTGATAATCATTCTATTTTTTTTTTTAAATAAAAATTATAATTCATTATTTTAATTTTAATTTTCAAGTTTAATTCACATTTTTGTTGACAATTTTTGTTTCCATAATAACTTCATTGCATTGAAAAACATATATTATTATCAACAGCTGTGATTCGTTATCACTTCCACATGACATTCGGCTCATTGAAAAAGTTTTCAATTGTATCCATACTAATCGAGTCCTTTTTAAGCTGGAATTTTTCGATCTTCTTCCGCTTTTCCACTTCATCCTCTTCTTTAATAAAATTACAAAGAGTCTCCAACATTTTCAATTCATCAATGTCGGGCTGGAATGACATATGATTCTGTAAAAGCCGTGAAAACATCGAGGCAAATTTTAATCGCAAATGGAACAAAAGGTTCATCTCATTTTGTTCACCAACAAAACTGGTCCAATCATCATTTAAATTGAAACGTGTGGTGTTATCGTCAGTCAATGCATTGATATCATTTCCGGAACTATCAAGTTTTGATAAAATTGTATGGCTTAAATGTGCGGGTCCAGCAAATAAAATGACATGAATAGGAGAAACTGCAGTTACATGTCGAATTAACGTGGTACGACGATTGTGGACTTTTTCTCCATAGACCAGCCATTGCACGCCTTATTTAATTACATTTGGATCCATTATGAATTCATTTATTCTTGAAGAACGTAGCACCGATGTGTGGTGTAGCCCCAAATCGTTGTCATTTTTTGAAGAAATATTTCCGTTTGAAATTCGGCACAGATTTGGATATAAACTGGCTGTCAAACATGCTTTTATGATTTCCCATTTCGCAGCATTGCGATTTAAATATTCCAATTATTTGTCATCTTGAATAAAGCCAGTCAATTTTAAATGTCTCATAATCATTTTACGGAGGAGATTTATTTTTTCCATAATTGAATTGGAAATTTGATTTTTGGCACAGAATTGAATTCGATTTCTTTCCAAAGACCATTCATTGAACAGATTTAGTAACATTTTATGATCACTAAATGATTTGTTACTGAATTCTTTTCTGATTTCATCAGTCGTTTCGGTTGCTTCTTCTTGCTGATTCGTTTGATCAAACGAAAGTACAAACGGATCTTGGTGTGATATTCCACTAACGATTGTAACAACCGGATCAATGCATTGTAAAGCAATGGAATATAAAATCATTTTTCCCAACTGAGAATCAACTGGCATATTGATCAAATGATTGCCCAAATAAGTCAGCCTTTCATCTGTATCCAAAGCATCGATTTTTTTCAATAGCTCAATGCTCTGTCGAATGTTTTCACGTGGTGGTGGTTCCAGACCCTTGTTCAAAAAGTTTTCAATAGATATATATGGAGCCAATATTTTCGTCTTGAGACAAATTTCCGTTAGTGGGATGCGCTGTATTTCAGGAAGAGTATATTCTTCCATTTCTTCATATTGTTGAAGTGAATACAGACGATACGCATAACCATTTTGGGTTCTTCCGGCGCACCCGGCTCTTTGTTTGGCACAAGCTTTGGATATGGATTTCAAGATCAAACCTGATGATTCAGTCAACGGATCGTATTGTTTTTCTTTGGCTTTTCCCGCGTCTATTACGTGCACCTGATAATAAAATTAAAAAAAAACAGTGCATTGACATTTAATAGCACCTAAAAAACTGATTGATATTATTATACTTACAACATCTTCTATTGTGACCGATGTTTCCGCTATATTTGTACTTAAAATAATTTTTCGAATTCCGTTTGACATTGGATTAAAGACACGAGATTGATCGAGATTTCCACTGTGTAAAATGAAAATTTGATAGTTTTCCATTTCCGATTTGGTTTCGATTTGTCTTTTTTGTGCCATAATGTCATCATAGCCGGGTAAAAAGACAAGAATGCTTTGGTGCGTTGGTTCTTTTGTATGTATTCGTTTGATGACATTCAACAATAGCTCATTTTGATTGGAAATAAGTGCGTCCATTGCATTGTTCTCAAATTCAGTATTAACTATGATGTCATTTAAATAAAGAATGTCAACATCAAACAGTCGTCCCGGTACGTTTATAATTGGGCATCCACCAAAATAATCGTCGAATTTTTTGCAATCCATGGTGGCCGACATCAAAATTATTTTTAAATTGGGATGCCATTTAATGGCCTCTTTGGCCAGAATGAAAAGAAAATCGGTAGTTTGCTCTCGTTCGTGTACCTCATCTAATATGAGGTGTGTAATATTTTGGTACAAATTCTCTGGTTTTGATGTGGTTAGGCACCTAAGCAAGAAACCACTACAATGACAAAATGCATTGATTGATTAACATCAGAAAATAACAAAAACAAATCGAGTAACTAACCTTGATGTCAGAGTTAAATTTGTTGTCTTATTGACACAACGATCAAACCTAATTTGATACCCGACAGTACCACCTATATGTTCGTTCCTTTCCTCGGAAATTCTTTTCGCAATTGATGTCGCTGCTATTCTCCTCGGCTGAGTACAAATTATCCGTGTTTTTTTGTTTTTTTCACAACCATCTTCAATGATGAATTGCGGGACCTGTGTTGACTTACCCGAACCTAAACAAATTAAAGTTTTATACTATGTCTTTTGGATGCTTTAGAAATTAAGTTTTCAAAAATGTTATTACCTGTTTCGTTCGAGATTATAATAACTTGAGATGCATCAATTGCATCTAAAATTTCTTTTTTGTATTTGTGAATTGGAAGTTCCGATTTAGTTTGCAGTGCATTGCTGAGTGGTGGTATACTCATTTCAATTTTGGATGTAAATTGAAATTCAAAATCACCTTTTGCTTGAAAAATGTTTGGTATATTTTCGTTTTGCGTCGACGCAATCGATTGTGCTGTGTCAATTGTTGTAGAAATAGCTTGAATTGAGTTCGTTGACAGTGCCAAAAACGATTCAAGTCCATTAGATGTACTTATGAGAAAATGTTTCTTGTATACAATCCAGTGACCGGTTCGCGCATATTTCTATGCCTGATAGCTATGCTAAGCATAGCGGAGACGCAAGCCGCAACGCACCCGTCGCCATTCGATTCGAGCTATATTGTATGCGCACGGTCGTCTGCATTAACGAACATGTGTATTGTTCATATAGAGTGAACGGCGATGCGTCGGTTGCGTTTGCGGCTATGCTTGGCATATCTATGCTACCTAGCGTATTTAGGCAAGCATAGAAATCACAGCAATGAAACGACAACAACAATAACACATATTTTTACTGTCAAAATTTTGATGTCAAATGGTGTCGACATTGGTGACGGTATTTTGAAACAGACTGTGTAATCCATATTCATCGTATATGATCCTATATAAAGTTCTATACTTGATCTAGTTCACATTGACGGTTCAAATCGTTTATGTCCACTAGCGAGGACATGGACTGTGTGTTTTTTCTGTTACATGTACGTTGTAATGGACAAGTATATAAACATGGCGTCGTCCAAATAAATTTAAAAATCCGTCCACTCGTGTCGACACCATCTAGCACGGTAGTAGGGATTTCATTGCTGTGTAGAAATATGCGCGAACCGGTCACTGATACAATCATGACTTTGTCTGAAAAATATTACAAAATTCAATGTTTTTGTTATATTTTTATCCAATGCATCGTTTTAATTTATTGTTCTTCTCAAATGTTTACAATTAAGGTTACCTGTTCTATTTATTTTGGTGTTTAAACCATTGTCGTGTGCAAAATCTTTCAGTTTTTTTCTCAAAGATTTCGCCAAACCGGCTGGCAATACAAATTGATTTTGTTCATGGCTGTTTATTAAATCATTTATTTTGGCCTTCAAATATTTAAGCTGTTCTTTTTTTTCTTGTTTCGCTTCCATTTTCACTTTCAAATGACTTTAATTTGCTTTATTTTGTTTAATATCTAAGTGGTCAATGTTTATCGTTTCACTTTTATTCAGTGCTTTTTGGTGTGATATTCAGTGACATTAGCTGTCAAATTGGAGCCCCTATCGGAAGGTCAAAAAATGTGGAACAAAAATGTGCCATTTTTAACCGTCAAACAGATATGAAATTTGAATGCACATAAAATGACATGAAACGTGAATTAAAATTGATTTTATATTTATTTTTATTTATTCAAAATTAGTAATTATTTATGCAAACATTGCATTGAATTTGTAAGTTTTCTTATTTTTCTATAAATATACTCTAGCTTAGTTGAGGTGAGTTGAGGTAATAATTTTTT